CCCCACTCCTGGGGGGGAAGGATATTGCAAAATCTCCATTCCCACCCCACTCCAGGGGAAGAATACTGCAAAATTCCCATTCCCTCCCCACTCCTGGGGAAAGGATACTGCAAAATCTCCATTCCCACCCCACTCCTGGGGGAAGGATATTGCAAAATCTCCATTCCCACCCCACTCCAGGGGAAGGATACTGCAAAATCCCCATTCCCTCCCCATTCCTGGGGGAAGGATATTGCAAAATCTCTATTCCCACCCCACTCCAGGGGAAGAATACTGCAAAATTCCCATTCCCTCCCCACTCCTGGGGGAAGGATATTGCAAAATCTCCATTCCCACCCCACTCTGGGGCCAGCCAGAGGTGGTATTTGCCGGTTCTCCGAACTACTCAAAATTTCCATTACTGGTTCTCCAGAACCTGTCAGAACCTGCTGGATTTCACCCGACCATAACAGAATCTGGCCACAATCAGAGAAACTACTTTTTACTGATCCGATAACAGTAGTTGGATGTAGAAGATATCAGTATTCCCCATATATTTTATTAGGTGTTACAAATTGAGTCCGTGAGTCCTTATAGAATATAGGACAGTGGGTCTCAATCTTCCTAATGCCGCGACCCTTTAATACAGTTCCTCATGTTGTGGTGACCCCCAACCATAAAATTATTCCTAAGGCCATTGAAAATATGTTTTCCGATGGTCTTAGGCGACCCCTGTGAAAGGGTTGTTTGACCCCCAAAGGGGTCCCGACCCACAGGTTGAGAACCACTGATATAGAAGATGCGGTATAGCAGGATGTGAGCTTTAATTTGAATGGCCCCTTGTCCTCTGGGGCACAGTCTCAATTTATATGGGGTTTTTTTGTATCAGTCTTTCAAAACTATCGTGGGAAATGCGTTGCAACACAGTAAGGTTAATGCCCTTCGAACTTTTGGGACACCTATTTGATATAAATATCTCACTGCTTTAAAAGGGGGGAAAAAGACAGTATTACATTCTTGACAAGAATATGAAATTGGTTTACTATTGCCTTATTGGGATTTTTAAAAAAATTCCAAGTAAAAATTTCTTATTGCCTCCCATCCAGTTAAAAGATAAGTATGATAGATATTTTCTAAAAAGGATGAGATCAAACTTTCATAAGGTTCCTTGATATTGCATCACTGAATTTCAGCATCAGAATACAATGGAAGAACAGGAAGATTCACCACCATTTTTTTACAAGGAAAACCAAAAAAGAGCATGTAGTATTTTGTTTAGATTTAAAACCCATGCCTAAGAAAGCCTTCCAACCTAACAACATATTAGACTTAAAATGTGACTAATAGATGACTTAATGTGTTTTGGTAACACAACCAGGGAATTTTTGCACAACCTCTTGAAGGGCAATAGAAAGACTGATGTTACAAAGAATACTCCACATTATTTTTGCAGTTGTCAATAGAGGAGAGAAAGCAGACAGGAGACACAACACATGCATTTTAAAACTCAAATGTATTTTTTATAACAAATGTATTTGTCTTTTCTTTCCTGAGGGCTCAGGCACTTCAAAGGTTTGTAATCTTCACATCAGCCTTTTGAAACAGGTCTAAGAGAGATTCAAGATTCTCTCTCTGAGGCTCAGATTGTATAGAGGTATCAAGGCCTTTACGTGCAGCTATCTGTAACAAACAAGAACTTTCATTTTCTCAATTCATAGGGGATACAAATCAAACAACCAATCATATTTTAGCCTACCATGCTGTGGAAATCAAGCCCCTGTGGTTAGTTTATGGTTCAGAATGTGTTGCACGAGCCAAGATAATAGTTTATGTTTAAAATAGCCATGGGTAAACCATGAGAACATAAACACTACTTTATTAAAGGATAGATTACCCTTTCCTGAATTGACTGTTTGCATGAGCTTACATTAAAGATGTCTAATATGTAAACTCTACCAAAAGAAAGTTATACTACTAGTCAGAAGATTCCATCAGTACATGCTACAATTTCTCTGTGTTTAAGGTTTTCAGTATTTGGCCTTAGCCGTATTGTCTACTGATGTCATTCCCTTGCAATTTGAAGGAAAATATAGATAGCCTGCGCTTCCAACTGTTTTGTGGGAAGATGTTTTTGATGGAATGAAAGAAACACATGGTGACACCTTCCTTTTCCTATCCAATTTTATTCTGAAATATAGAAATAAACCCACAATCTTCACTCCAGAAATGAAATAAATAGCTTTCTTTAACATCATAACCTTTGTTGGTAGCTTTTGCCAAGTCGGGATGGGGGATAGTGCGTCCATTCTTGTGCTACTTCATCTCTCATTGGCTTCTGATATTGTCAACCTTCTGGACCAACCACAGGGTTTGGGACTGGGAGGCACTGTATTGTGGTGGCTCTTGTCCTTTCTCTATGGTCAGATCCAATTAATGTTGATGGGAGTGTGGGAGAAAGTTCTGTCCATTGCTTCACAGCTTAAAGCTTTTGCCCCTCCTGTTTAACATCTACATGGAATCTACATGTGTGAAGTCATCTGTTGGTTTAGGGTCCAGTGTTATCACCATGCCAATGATACCAGATGTTCATCTTCACTCAGATCATCCAGGAAGTGCTGTTGATGTCCTGGCCCAGTGTCTAGAGGTTGTTTGGATAGGGAAGACTAGGTCAAGTGGGTTGTGTCTGTTTGGATCCTCCTGGTTCTTGAGTGTTTTCTTTTTCTTTGGATTTAGATGGCTTCCCCATCTGAGACTTGAGGGGGGGGTTTCTCTCCTGGTTTCATAATTACTACTTGAAGAGAAGGTGGCAGCTGTTGCCAGGAACACCTTTGCACAGATCTATCTTGAGTACCAGTTGCACCCTTCCCTCAACCTAGAGGCTCTTTAGAGAATCACTCATGTTCTAGTCATCTCATGATTGGACTATTGCAATTCACTCTGCATGAGCTGCCCTTGAAGACCACCCGGAAGCTACAACTCATGTAAAATAGTGAGATGGGCAACAATGGGCACATCTTAATATGCCTATACATTATCATTGCTCTGCAAACTGCACTGGTTGCAACCAGTAGTTGGCTTCTGAGTGCAATTCAAAGGGCTGGTTATCATCTATAGAGCTTCTTGTGACATACAGCCTAATTATTTGAGGGAGACCACCTGTCTCCAGTGGTCTCAGCAAGATCAAGTAAAATACAGGTGCTCCTGGGTCAATTAAACAATGTCGTCTAGTGGGACCCCAGAAGCATATCTTCTTTATCAAAGTGTCTGACCTCTGGATGCTGTTCCTCCCTCCCCTCCCTCCATGGAGATATGCACAATTCCCATCCTATAAAGGTTCCAAAAGGCTTTGGAAGTGTGGCTTTGCCTGCAAGTTTGGATTTGGTTGCTTGTTTTAATTTTATGTGGGAATGATTTTGAGAGACAGGAGGAAGAGCTGCAGCCTAGACAACAGTCTGATAAAAACCGAGTCAGAGGGGGAGGCAGAGTTTAGAGAAAGCATTTCAGAAGGGACCTTCCCGAGTTTCAGGAGAATAAAAGTAAGGGAGGGGAGAGGTACTTTCAAACTTGAAAAATTATGTTACTATAACCTTCTAATGAAGACAGTGTTAGTACTCAGGGTTGGTGTTTCTTGTCTGCACTACCTCTAAGGGCTGACACTTACTGAGCCCTTGTGTTCTTTTGCAACACAATGGATAATTTTGTTCAGGTGTTTGTCTTCTTAACTCTAATAGCCACCTTCCAAATCTAAATAAAAAATACCTGTTTGTCCTGATGTGAAGACACAATCTATCCACCCACCCACCCAAGTGAAAAGATACATCAAAACAGGAATGGACAAGATTTGGGCAGCCAGAAGTCACACCTGGAAAAAAAAATAAAGATAGCTCATTTGGGATGATGCCACCTCAAGAGTGGGCCCCTGCTGCCCCCCCCATGTTTCAAAGTTTTAATGTGCTATGTGAGCAGAGAACAGCGGGTTAAGAGAATAAAGCACAACCTGGTTAAAAGTCTGTAGAGATTCTCAGTCATCCAGGTCATGGTGGTCCCAAAGGTGCTTTTTCTGGAGGCAACTGGACTTCGTTTTTTCTTTGAAGGTGTTTCACTTCTCATCCAAGAAGCTTCTTCAGCTCTAACAGGATACTGGGGAATGGAAGGATTTCAATCCGCAAGGAATATACACTGCTCAAAAAAAATAAAGGGAACACAAGCAGAAGACATCCAAGATCTGAATGAATGAAACAGCCTTATTAAATACTTTGTTTGTTACATACAGTAGTTTTGTGTTCCCTTTAGTTGTTTGAGCAGTGTATAAACTACTGTATGTAAAGAACAAAGTATTTAATAAGGCTATTTCATTCATTGTTCTCGGATGTCTTCTGCTTGTGTTCCCTTTATTTTTTTGAGCAGTGTATATCCTTCCATTCCCCACTATCCTGTCAGAGCTGAACAGTGGTGTATTAACCATTAAGCAGACTAGGCACCTGCTTAGGGCACCAGGCCCAAAGTGGGCACCACAAAGTTGAGAAAGAAAAAACAACAACCCCAATGAAGATTTGTAGCAGCTTGTCTTCGGTTGTACAGTATGTACAAAGGAGGGGGGGGCACCAAGATTTGTCAGTTCTTAGGGCACCAGTGAGCCTTAATCCGCCACTGGCTGAAGTAGTTTCTTGGATGAGAAGCCAAACGTCTTCAAAGGAAAAACAAGAAAGTCCAGTTGCCTCCAGAAAAAGCACCTTCGGGACATAACCTGGTTAGCCCAGGGAACCTGTGTCCTCATGGACTCCGGAATCTTCTCCGTCTGAAGCGAACCCCCCGCCCCCGCCGCCGACAGTTGTATAACTGCGGAGGATTGTTTATCGCAGCGACCGTAGCTGTTTTCTTCCCCCTCTTCCCCCGTCTCCCCCAGGCCATCCCACGGGTCTCCCTCCCCTCTCGGCGCAGCCAGCCCATCCGTTCCCGCCTCGAGGGGGCTGACTCTTTCCCTCTGGCTGGCTGCGGGGTCACCGGCGTTTGTTGTCAAAACTGCAAGCGGTCCGCTCCGGAGGCGGCTGCCTGCTTTTTTATTATTATTTTTTTCCCTCCCCTTTCCCCCACATGCCCTCGCTGAAAACCCGGCTTCCCGCCTGGGCTCAAAACTCCCACAAACATTTCCTAATAAGGTTTCGCAGGTATTGGCCAGCCCGAGTTTTCTGAAGGGCAACCTGTGGTGTGTGTGTGTGTGTGTGTGTGTGAGAGAGAGAGAATTAACAAGGGACCCCAGGTTGTTGTTGTTGGGTTTTTGTTTTTTTTTTTTGGAAAGCGCCGCTGAGAAAACTTCGCGAGCAAAGAGAGCTTGAAATCCGGCGGGAGTTTCTAACTCGCTTATTATACCTAGCAGCCGCCGGAGGGATCGCGGTGAGTTTCTCCTCCCTCCACTCTCTCTCTCTCTCTCTGCCTCCTTTCTCCCAGTTTAAGGCGCTGGGCTTTCTATTCTCGATTTAGCTCCTGTGGCTAATTTGTCCTCAATGCCTCGGGGAAGAAACAGCGGGAGTTGGAAAAAAGATTAAACCCGCAGGTTCCTAAAAGCCACGCGGCTCTTTCCACGTTGTCGACCCCGCGCGCGCTCGCGCCCGTGTGTTAAGTACGCGCCTCTTCCTCACGAGGTCTGCTTAATCCTCGAGAGGCATCCGGTGCAGACCTACTTAAGAGTAAGTCCCGTGGAGTCGCGTGGGAATGAAGGGGGGGAAAAAAACAACAACAAAACGCAGGGTTGCGGTCTTGCGAGGGCGCCTGCCGTCCCTTTTTTTTTTTTTGGAGTGGGACTTTCTCTGAGATAAATGCGCCCGAGAACCGCTTTTTTTTTGCTTGCGGACGGGCGTTTTTAGTTCCAAGCAGCTCGAATTCTACAACAGCTACTCCCCCCTCAAATATATATATATATATATATTGCCGCAATCCTAACTGACAATAGGTAGGATGCCGCCTGCAAAACGCAGGCAAGAACGAAGAACGGGTGCCGAAGTGGCTTGGGCCAAGCGAGGCGGTCAGATTCTCACGTAGCCCCCGCCCCTTTTCGCGTTGGCTTGGCTTGGTTACCGGCTTGGTGATGCAACGGATCAAGAGTGCGACCTGCGGATTACCTTGGGGAAAGGTGGTTTGCGCTTCATAAGGCAGCCGGGGAAGAACTGGCGTAAGTGGAGGAAGGGACAGGGGGGGTTTGAAACCCCATCACTGAAGCGCGGGAAATTGTGGTGGCCGAAGAAGCGCTTTTCTCTCCCCCTCCCCACCCGACTTTTTCCTGGGAGCCTGTGGCTTTGTTGTCAGAAATCTCTGGATCGAAGGTCAGTCTTTCGCCGCCTCGATTTTTTTTTTCCCTCTCGCGAAGCGCAACTTATGTTGCGGTTACCAGGTTTCCCTCCCCTTCTGAAAGGACCGCCGAGTTCCTGCCTCAAGTGTGAGAATCTTCTCAACGGGCTCCTCCGATTGTTACTTCTTGTTTGAAGTGCGTGCAGCGCCCTGGGAAGTGGGGGGGCCGCTGATGCTAAACAGCAGAGCGTGGAGCCTCAGTAGCCGGATTTCCCCACCCAGCAGATGCCAGAAGCAGAAGTTTTTGATAAGAAATGTCATTCCACTCCCCCCACCCCAGTCATGTTTAATGAACACCAGCTTCATGGGCACAATTCTTCCTCACGCTCTTGGTCCCCCCCCCAAATGCAGAGACTTCTCACAAATGCAAAACACCTTTGGGAATAAATGTGTGCGTGTGTGGTGCCATTTCTCACTCTTCCCCTTTATGCATTTTATCCAAGCTTCAGATTTTCTCTGACAGTTAATTGAGCCATAGTTTACTTAATTATTACTTAAGTGCTGGGTTTGTGGTGACAGCACAAATTAACCACATCTGCTGATTTCACACACACACACACACACACAGAGGAATCAATATATGTGAGGCTTATCAATGAGTCAGCAACACACCTCTAAGTCAAAGTGTCGGTCAAATAGACATCCGTTCATGGAGCCTTTTAATATGAAACTATGCAAGGCTTAGAAGGATGCACTACATAATATTGTTACAAATATATTTTTCATTTTTTCATGCAGAAAGGGGCAGAGAAACTTCATAACGCAGTCTTCACAACCAGGTGCTTCCCGATGCATTGAACCAGATTGAATCACTATAATTCGTGTCAGCCTTCCTCAAATTGAACAACTTCCAGATATATGAACTTTCAGCTCCAGAATTCCCGGAGTTGCGTGGCAATTACTAAGAATTCTGAAAACTGAAACACAAAGGTTTGAAAAAGGTTGGCCTATGGTTGTGCTGTCTGGGAGATAAAAGGAGTGGAAGCCTGGTGAATGTGAGGAGAACAAGTTTAGGAAGATTGACTTTAAAAAAAGTCTACTGCCAGATGTTTAAGTCCCATACAAAAGCAGCCCAAGCTATTTTTTTTTAACTTTGCATAAAAGAAAATATCCCTGCCTTTCCATTTAGCTTGACTTTTGACTTGCAACAGTTGGATTGGCTGTTATCTTATTTTAGTAGAGCAAAGGATAGGACCTTTTTTATACAGGTAGTCCTTTCTTGCCACAGTTTTTAAGTGAATCACTGCAGTTAAGTTAGCAACCTGGTTGTTAAATCAATCTAGCTTTCCAGTTGACTTTGCTTGTCAGAAAGTTGGAAAAGGGGATGCTGCAATGGTCGTATGTGTGAAAAAGTTCATAAGTCACTTTTTTCAGTGCCATTGTAACTTCAAATGGTCACTAAATAAACTGTTGTAACTGTAGTGATGTTCTAATTGTGGAACTTTAAAACTATTGTTGCCCTGACATCTTTTTAACATTTAGATTGATTTACATATTAAATCAATCACATCTTTATTATGGTCACAGACCAACATAAGGGTGGAATACAAACAATTTTAAAAGATAAGGAATGTAAAATACACAAAAACAAAAGCATAGCTAGGATATTACCACTTTCTGCATCATGTGACTTTGAGTACTGTAGTTCAGGGATGTCAAACACGCGGCATCACATCATATCGTGACTTTTCCCCCTTTGCTAACCAGGGGTTGGGTGTGGCTAACACATGATGCATCTGGCCCTGCTGTAATTATACTGTAGTTATTTCTATTTTTTTCCTTATATTTTAAAGGTCTTTTATTCAACTGTGTGCAATCTCCTACTTTTAATTATTGTTAGCTTTGAGGGCCATTATATTTATGAGCCAATGCATATGGTGTTATTCTGAACAGAGAGAAATGGTTATGGAGCTGCTGCTCCCTCTAATATTGTTGTCACACCAGTGATAACACTGGCTTTGGTCCCACCTTGACAAATCAGTCGCTGTTTTGCAACCTGTTTGATTCAGGCATGTGATAAAATCTAAATGGCCTGGGAATGATCAAACAGTGTTTAGTTGCTCAAGAGCTCATCCAACTTGCTTTGCTTACTTGTTGCTTTGTAAAAGATTGCATTCTTTTGCAGCAATGCTGTAGGATGCAGCGGAGGCAAAGGTTCTGATAAGATTCAGGAACTGTGTTTACTTGGCCTTAGCTGATACTGAAGTTAAACAGGATCAGAGCTGGCTAGTGCTTCAGGAGAGACCACAAGAAAATTCCACTAGCTGGATAGGGTGAAAATAAAAACACCACCACACAGAGATAATAGCATGTGTTTTCTGTGTTGCCATCAAGAAAATTATCTGGATGTAACTGTGAAATTACCAAGAATTCATACCTTGACTTGAAGGATACCTTTAATATTTGACTACACTTTTCTTCATAATAAGGGATTCTGAAATCAGTATCTTCTTTAGTCATGGCTAAGATATATAACAGACTGGGTTCAGAGGATGTCTAGAGTCTTCAAGGGCATTATTTACTAGTAATTAAACTGGGTGATATAAACATACCAGCTGTCGTTGTTTTCATCATGATTTAATCCAGTGTGGTAAACTTCTCTCGGAATAAGAACCCCAAAGATCTAGTCTAGGGCTTAAGGTGTTTACTCAGGAACCAGGAGACTCTGAGTTCTAGTCCCACCTTAGGCATGAAAAGCCTACTGGTGTGAGGAAATAGAAGGAAGGACTATTAGGCGTGTTTGCCATCTTTAACTTGCTTATAAACAATAAAGGCAGGATAAAAATAAAGAAAATAAGAATAAACTTGCTAGTAGCTGAAAAATGGTCATCTGATCCCAGAAAGAATGTGTGTTTCAAAATCCAGTATACCTGCAATTGTAGTAAAAGCCAAACTTAACGGACTATTTGGGAGAGGTGCCTATTAAATACAAATTTATGTAATGAATGTAATTTGTCCCTATTTATTTTAAATAGATGTGAATTAATCTATTATTTAATTATCTAAATGATGTAAATTGATGCAAATGATATCAATTTCTTTATTGGTCTGGTCTGCTTCAGAAACACCAGCTTTGTTATTTGTAAAGGAAGCACAAACTAGTTTTTGGCTGTGGCATCCTATGCCTAGGAAATGGGCATCTTTGAAATTGAAGTTCTATTATGTTTATAGAAGTGTGCAAGTGATTTGGGATGCATAAGCAGGAGAGTTCTGAGTGTGCATGGGTCTATTCCCAAGTCACACTTAAGCGGGTTAGCTTGGGAGAAGTAATATGTTAGGGATACATGAAAAAGGAGGTTAAATTAAATCCTAACAGATCCAGTCATGCAGAAAGTTTAGCTAACTTCACCCAATGAGTCATGTTGTGGGAAAACCTAAACCCAGTTAACAAGCTTGTTTTGTCTAGTCCTCTGAGAAAAGATGCTGAACAAAGGATAATAGCAAAAATCTCCATTAACAGAACTAATAAATTAAGAAATAAGAAATAAACCATGCCCAGAGCACATACTTCAAGCATTAATAGGCTGGAACAGTTGTTTTTTTAAATTATTTTAAATTATTTTTATTATTATTCATTATTATTAAAGATTATTGTTATTATGCATATTAACATTAACATTATTTTTATTTATTTATTTATTATTTGTATCCCTCCTTTATTATTTTTACAAATAACTCAAATCAGGAAACACATCCAACATATTTCCTCCTCTTATTTTCCTAACAACAATAACTCTGTGAGGTGAGTTGGACTGAGAGAGAGAGAGAGCGCGTTGCTGGCCCAAGGTCACCGAGCAGGCTCTCATGGTCTCCTGCTTTCTACTCTGGTGCTTTAACCACTAGACCAAACCGCTTTACTACATGCCTACTATAGCTGGCCAGGTCAATGGGGAAGAAGTTTGTGACATCATGAAGCCTTGTATAGATTTCTTCTAATGAGATGGTTTGTGTGATATAAAGTAGTTCCTGCAAAAACTAGATGGGAACTTTCGGTTTCTAAAATTGTTATTTTTGCTGCAGTTAGTGTGATTCTGTGCTTCTCATATTAT